TCAATATATTCTTAAGAATTATTCTCCCCACATTTATAGTTTTATTATTCTGAATACAGAAATTCAGAATAGCTCTATCTCTAGTTACTTCACTATGGTGATAGGTCGGTAACACAATAGACGAAATGAAATAGGTCCACGCCTTAGAGGTGGCATTCAGCATGGAAGCAGAAAAATTTACTCGTTCTCGCTGCTTTATCTTCCATGTTCCTTTCCCATCAGTGAGAAAGTTGATCACATTATTGAGGGGGCCTTCCATCGTACTAAGGGATTCATAGTGATAGATATAAGAGTCTAGGACTTTGTAAAAAGTGTTGATGTGGGCAGCAGTAAACTCAACAGGGAATCCACGCACTTGAACGATTCCGTCATTAGAATAAATCACATTGGCCATCGCATATCTTCCATGTTCCTTCACAACATTTGCATCAGCTTAATTGGGGGTGTAACAAAAGTTTTCCCACCTCTGCTCGACAATAACTCGTTCAATTTCTCCTCCCGGACTTTCAAAAACTCAATCTTGTATGCACTTCTTTCCTTTAAATATGGAAGTAAATTTTGTTTGAGCCATCGCATTGACGAAGCGAGACTCATCGAACTCAACTCTTCTCTTTTGTCGTGGAGCCATTTTATTCTAATCAAATTATAGAAAAATTCCAAAAATTACTTCAAATATGTAAATCATGGCTTCCAATAGTAATTCTAACAGTTCAACAATAAGATCCATGAATTTCTTCCCAAATTTTCTTCACAAATTTTTCAGATCTTCTCAATGTGGGAGAAAATCATGGTGAAAATCAAATATTTTTAGCTTGGAGTGAAGCTCCTACCTAAAGATGATCAAATCCAGTGTCAAAAAGTCTTGAAATTGCCTCCCAATCCAAGATCTTTCAAGCCCTAAGTCAAAAATGGCGTTTTTAGGAGGAAGGGGATAATGAATAGTGGTGGTTGACTGGTCAAAATCGTGGTTAAAGGTGTTTTTCGTGAAAAGGTGTTTTTATGAGCTCGCCGTCGGCGGGGTCGATGGCGTCGTCGGCGCGCTTAATTGGAATTACACATTT